CTTCAAATGAAACAATAAAAAGTAAGATTACTTTAGAAGTGGATGACAAGTTAATGATATGGTTTAATCATCACTTAGTAGCTAGTATTTTCTGATTTATGAATGAAGTACTGATTCTAATGACATGAATATAGGTTTTCCATTTATTGTCAGCAGGAGCAGGAAAAGGCTCAAAATATTTATTATAAATTCCTTAGAAACATATTAACTAATAATAATAATATACACATGTTAAACTCAGACTTTTTCAAATTTTCTTTAATAAAAAAGTCAGGTCAAAATGTATTGCTTGGTTATCTTTTATTTCCCTTTAATAAGGGACAGTTTATAAAAGTATATAGAAGTATATAAAACTATAATGTAACAAGTGCAGCAATACTTCAGTTTAAAAAGATAGTTTGTATCTATATATACACACATATTTGTATTTAGTTATTTCAGTAAATACACTGATTCCAGAAGCATTTCTGTCAATATTAGATAATTTTAAAAGTTTGCCAGCATAGAAGAGTAGAACCTGCAAAATTTCTATCATAAAACAATGATTTCTTTCTAGTGGGCAGCAAATAAGTACCAAATATATTAAAAGTAAACAGGGAAGGGGAAAGGATTAAATAGAAAAGAATACTATATCACTAACCAAACCTAACTGTTTTAACAGTACACAAGGAATTTTTTTAATCTTCAAGTTAATAAAGGTTAACAGAATAAAATAAACTTCTGAGTACTCTTCTAGAACTTAATTTCTCTACTGAAGATATTTTAGAGATGATAGAAGTTCTATGCAGACCCAGCTGCTAGGAAAATTTACTTAAACCACACCAAAAGGAGAAAACAAATACTTTTATAGAAATACTTAAGTATGGCTTCTCTGTGGTTTCTCACTGTACCTAGACCAAAATCAATTTAAAAGCAGCTGCTAGCTGATGATTTATAGACCTGATAAGCAAGGAATTTCTCGTGTATCTGATCTAAAGATATTTATTACGTCATTTACAGAAGGATGAGAACAGACCGATTAAGACACTCAGTACTAGATGTTCCATTCCCAAACATTTACCTCTGAAGATCTATTTCCATTAATAAGGGTACAATCTCTACTTGGACAATATACCCTTTGCAATCATACCATTATGAAATCTTTAAAGGCTTTTTTAAGATTGGGGTAGAGCTGAGCAACTGGACCCAAGCAGTAGACTGACATCAGCATTTATTCTAATAGTTCACAGGCTAAACCCCATCATTTTTAATTTGGTCATGGCTCAGTAGAGTAATGCAAATACCCATGGACATGTCATGAAGCCATGTCATCTGCAAAAACAAAAGCATCCGAAAGATTTACTAACGTTACTGTTCTTACACTGGTATTGAGGAAAGCTAGTTCTGCATTTGACCTAAATGTTAAGTCTACCAGAAGTTCAGAGTGGCAAGTAGAGATCTGATATAAAAATATATAAAGAGATCAAAAAAGCTTTTTTTTCAAATAAGATCAGGACTTCGGAATGTGTCTACCACTACCTTATCTGCGGTCTCATGTAACCAAAACCTATATTAACCTGTTGCTCTAACTCCCACTCAAATCATAAATCTCAACATCACTCACACTACTGGAATGTTCTTTTGACTCACATTTCCTACAGGCAGTATGGGCATAAGTAGATTAAGCCACATGGCATTATGAACTAGAGCCTTCATCTCATCTCTGTATGGTGGAGATTGATCAACAAATGACTTCTGAATACTCAAGAAACCCCCTTAGATTCTCTGAAAAACACAAAATAAACACACCCACTATTCTAAAAATATAAGTGCCTGACCTCTGGGTGGTATTTGCAGTGTTGGGTTCCTACTAGTGGATTAATTTACTTAAGATATTTTTGAGAAAACCTGAACTTCAAAGCAGCTCAGTATATACTGAGCAGGTCTGGTGACTGTGAATAAAAAGTTTCATGATAATGTAAAACTGTAAAAAAAAGTTATTTCAGAAAGACGGATCTTACAAAAATCTAATAGCCTAAGATGAAAACTTGGGTAGGGAGAGAAAGCAACAATTTCTTGTTTCACAAATATTTTTCTTTACAGCAGGATTTTAAAAGTTTAAGGTTTCATCTTGACCTGGACGGTCTTTGTATTTTATTTTGTTTACTTTACCAAGGAAAATGCCTGGAGGAAAGAAAGCAGCTTTTATAAAGCATAAGGGTAATTTTGAAATTTCAGGCATAAAAATGATTTGGAACAATAAAAATCTTTGCAAAGCTAAATGCTAGTTTCAAACAAATATGTAAAAATATAAAACCAAAGAAACTTCAAGCTCCTTATCTGTAAAAGATGAATTAGCTTTAAAATGTTTATCACTTTTAGATATTCTATCCAGTCTGTCTGCAAATTTGTCAAATCCAAATGTTCATGTCATCCCACAGTCACTTTCAGGTACAATATTTCTCTAAAATAATATAGTGTGGTATTATCTCAAAACCCACTTATTTTATGTGATGGAAAACTATGTGCAAAGATAACCAACCAGATTTAAATGGGTTTGGTTTCATTTGGTGCATGACTGGCTTACACATATAATTTCCATTAATTATATTGTATAAATCCCCTAGTCCAGTAAGTTGAGCAGATTCACCCTGAAGACAGTTATCAGAAGAACTGCTGTACCATGAAACATAAAATGGTCAGAGGCTTCATAGTACTTATGACTTGTGAAATACACAAGGCAAAAAAGGAGAAGCTGCTTTAGAAAAAATTCAAATGTACTTGAATGAAGATAAAGGGAAAACCAACAAGACTGGGCAAGTACCAAAGTTATATACTTAAAAAAGAGGTACATTACTAGAATATGCATTGACCAAACAATTTGTGAATGTTCAGCTAGCCCACAAGGTGCTATTCACCACCTCTTCCTCTCTACTGCTGACCTTATTCAATTTCTTTTCTATATTCCGATACAGAATTCCATCTGAACTGCCAGCTGCTGCTGCAGATATAACTTTGTGATGTCCTTAAACGTGAATTCCTTAGGCTGGATATTTTTTGCTTTCTAGCTGCACTTGATTTACCCAAACCACAAAGTAGCCATAGTCATGACTTGTATGGGTCAGTGAGGACTCTACTGCCCTCAAGTACAGGGGTCATGCCTTGGCAAAGTGGGACACAACAGTTTCTGTGTAGCAGATACTCCACTGCAGTCCTTGCAGGCGGTAACACTGAACAAACTTGCATCTTCTTATTGGGTATTGCCAACATTTCCAGCTCAGGGACCAAAAGCCACACAACACACACCACACACTTAACCACTTTCTAGTTCTTCTATCTCTCCAACTTTTTGCCAAGATTTCTGGACCAGTGGAGGCTCTGGCACCTCTGCTTCCCCTCTAAAACTGTCCTCTGCTCTCCCATTTTATTCCACCATGAGAAAAAACAGCACCATCATTCCTTTGTGTTGATACCACTTCATTTGTTTTTCTGTGTTCAGACCTCTAAGTCTCACTGGAAACTTCTTCACTGCTCATAATTCCAGATTCTTATCCTCAGCTCTTATACTCTTTACAACATTGCTTTTCTGTATTTATGTTACTGTATCCCTCTCCAATACCTCCATCGAATTTCCTCTTCTGTTCTGAACCAAACATCAGTTCTTCTGAATGTGAAGACAGTGCAAGTCCCTACTCACAGACCTTACACTTTCTGAATGAAGCATCCTCTCCTAAGCCACCGGCACTACTCCACTCTCCTTCTCTGCCCTCTCTCTTCCCATGTTCCCCATGAGGTGCTGTAGCACAGAACCAGCCAAAATCTACAGCCCAGCATGGCTCCTGAAAGATACTAAATTTGCTTAGAAGTTAGAAAGAAATTTTCACATTCTTCAGAACCTTCAGTCTGTGCTCCTCACAAAAACCATGTTCCTCGCATTGTCATTCTCTAGTTCCTTTTCATCAAGAAATTTTCCAATTCTTCGAGTTTCAACAGAAATAATATTGAAAGCTGTTCACTAAAAGGCCTCTGTCTTTATAACATGCAGTCCTATCAACCAAGCATAACGGGACACCCTGCAGATAATTAACACTGGTAGCACCAACACCAAATTCAGCTATAAAAGCATGTTGTGACTTTAGATAACCTTATTGACTGTAAAAAGTAAAATTTAATTAAATAATATGAAACAAAAAAGTAGAATAAAACAAAATTGCAAATTTGAAATATTTAACATAGTTGACAGAAAAAAAAAATAATCCGTGGGATATGCTGTTATGGAAAAATTTATACATGTGTAACCAAAGAGAGTCATTATATCATCAGAACAATGTAACCAAATGCTTTCTAATGAAGCACAGATGTAAAGAAGAATGAACTGGCACAGGCAATCTATCTGAACTTTCACCCCTTTATTCCTCTATTTCTCTGTCTAAATAAACATGATATTTAAAAATTAAAAGAACCTTAACATTTCCACAACTAAACCATGTTCTGTCTAACTGTCTGGATGTATTTATGAGGTGATAATATAATTATTATTAAAAATATTAACTACATACATGTCAGGAAAAAGAGCTAATACATGCATACATAAATCCTGTTTATAATTCCCTAAATACTAGATACATTTGACATGAAATCTAGAAGTACATTTATGAGAAACCCACTGGCCCTCTGCATTGTGGGAGCCCATGCAAGGCGTGAAAACATTGCTGGGGAAACTGAAAGGTTTGGTTAGGAAAGCCAGCTTTTATACCGCAGAGCAAAATCACTGAGAAACCTGCTTCCACACATAATGGAAATTGTATATTTTAATGCATTACTTACTACTGTTACGCAAATTTCCCCAGACACTAGCTGGTCATGTTCAGTATTACTGTCCTGCAGACACTTCAACATGCAGGGTAAATGCAGCTAATAAGCATAATTAGCTCAGACAGTGTATTTAATTTAGTTTTGCACTAAAGACTAATTGCCTACTCAGCGAAGGGGAAGTGTAACATTTTTTTTAAGATGCTTACCCGAGGGCCCTGATCACCTTGATCTCCCTGCAAAGTGGAAAGATGAGATGATAGGTTTAACACAGCATCTGTGTGCTACCCAGCTCTCTTACATAATCTAACATTACACTGAGTCAATACAAACGGTCTCTTTAGTTCATGCTGGGAGGGCTTTCCATTCACCTTGTAAGTGTCACCTGTACATCAACTCACCTTCTCGCCTTTTGGACCAGGAGGGCCCTGAAAGAAACAGAAGCAAAGATGAATTACTGATACTGATGAAGTCATGGGAAATGGCAAGAAACAGGTCTGTGCCAACTTGCGATTTCTTCCTAACAACATATTTATTTATAATTTTTCACTCCGAATGCCAGGTCTATTCTAGAGACAGCTTCTTTACTGTATTAATAACAGGCACTCTGCCTTTATTTCTTGAATAGTTTACTCACCCCATGCGTTGAATCAAACTACTTAGACAAGCAAAACTATGCCTGAAATGGCAAAATTTCTATTCATTTCAGTTAGGGACAATAGTTTATCTCCTATCAGATAACAGATGTTTTCTAAGTCTGTAAAACTTCTTTGCAAGTGCAGATAATACATTCAGAGACATGTAAAACTGCCATGCATTTTGGCACCCTTCTTGGCTCAGATTGCCTAAGAAAAATGGATTAGGGGATCTAAAAGTAGTGGTTTTATTCCTATCTTTGGCAATGCTGAAGCTGATGTTTAGTCTCAAGCACACTGTTTTAGGCAAAATGAGCTCTTTGTATAACATGACTTTGAAGAAGTAGTATTTGATGTTACTTACCACCAGACAAACAGTAAGGTGACAGAATCACAAAACAGCAAGGTCCTTTCCTATTCCATTTTTACTGAGCACCTTCCAGAAAGCTACCAGCAGGTTTCTAAAACACTAGTTTTCAGGTTAGTATATTGCGAATAAAAATGCTAGCAGTCTGCAAAGAACTGGCTGCTTACACAGTGCAGACTCTACCTCCAGCTTTCTGAAAGATATGCAGGTGTTTCATTACAAAGAAAGACCTGTGAAAGCAGCTGTAAACAGAGAAGGAATCACGCAAGGTAGCAGGGTCCACTGTTAAGACAGAGAATGTGTGTGTGTGCGGATGCACACTGAGCACAAGAAAAGGTCACCACCAGCAACATAATTAGAACTAACCAAGTACAACCCAACTGAGCTAAGCACATTTGAACCATTCCAGAATTTACACTAGTAAAAATTCACATGGTTCACATAAATGCAAATGGAAGGAAGGTCAGTCTGCTGTATATTAAAGATGCGATCAACCACATGCAAGTCTTTGAGAATCCCTATTGTAGCCAATTTTCTGCTTATTTTTAAGGGTTTCTGATGCATGCCAGAGAAAAAGCATCTGCTGCTAAATCTTTTAAGAAGTTAAAGCATATGCCTCTCCTTCCATAGCCTGCCATCTCTTCCGTCTGCTCAAGAGGACATAGAAACAAGTCTGCTACCTGATGTCTCCACGTCCCCATTAGGAAGGACAGGGCTTGCAGCTAGCTGGGTGGAAAGCGTATGCTCAATTAACTATGACCCCTGTCCACTTTTGTGTTGCCCTGCAAGAATGTGTCCTCTTTAGAAACAAATCAAATAAAAAAATTAATGAATAGATACAACCTTGCTGCACCTTTAAGGCCTCTCCATCTATTTTTTTTAATACTTTAACACTTACCAACCCTTTTCAATGCACACGTTCATATATATATATATACTGCAAACTACATGTAGCATTGTCTACTGTTAGCTACAGATTCCACATATACTTATTTGGATGTGACATTACACTAAAGCACGTTTTCAGCAGGCTCACTTTAAAACATACAAATACATGACATAGAGCTTGCAAATTTGCAAACTCAAACCATCAGTAACACAGTAATTGCAGAATGGGAAGAACTAAAACCAGTCAATGCTGGCTATTACTGCCTTTTTCACCGTGAACACTGAGCACAAGAGAAGGGCTGTGCTCGTGTGTTCTATCTCCTTGAACTACCAAACCATTACAGGCCATGAATGTCTTACTGGCTGCAAATTCCAAGTAACAGGACCCCTATCTGCTACAGTGAGAATCCTATTTCTTGGGTCTTAGGCGTGAAATTATGGATAACATGACACAATCGAGACTGCAGACAGATGTTGGCTTTTGGATCGTGCTGCGATTGTGGGAGTTGTTTCTGCCTTCATCCAGATGCTCAACACCATTCTTATGCCCAAGGGTAGCCCTGTTTCTGATGGGTTTTGGCTCACAACTTTTCTGAAGTGTGCCTGCCACAGTTCTGCCAGTTGGTACAAAGTAAGACATCAGAGACCACTCCCTGAACTCAGCTGGCTCACTGGAGCAGAAACAAGTGATAACATGCTCACATGAGAGGTTCAGACAGCAGATCTGTGGGGCTACTAGCCCATCTCTCTGGTATAACTGCTGGCAATATGTTCAGCTGTCTCCATCTGCAGAAGTGGCCCCTGCCTCTCCCCTGTGTATTTTCCTCTACTAAGTTCTCTGAAAGCACTATCCATACCCAAACATGTTTTTTTTAGTAAGACTGAATCACATACTTCAACTAAATTTTATTCTCCTTTTTCAGTGTAGGATTTTCTGAAAACTACCTGTCCACATCACATTCAAAAATCCAGGGGTTTTCTTTTTCTACTGGGCAAAGCCAGCAATTATGACTGCTTGGTGTTTCCTCTCCCTGAGTGCCACACACCACCGTTTTCTATTCAGTCATCCTTCCAGCACGCAAATTTTTCATACAAAATCTTCATCAATATCTAACAACTTTATTGTACCAGAAGTTAAAAACAGCTTTTCAAAAGGCCACAGGAGCATTTCTGGTGTGAACATTCTCACAAGTCTCTGCACTTATATTTTCAATGCTTTTGCTTTCCACCAAGAGTCTTGAAAAACAAACAATTGCAAACAAAAAATAGCTCTTTTGGATGATAGTGAAGAGAACCAGTGGGGTTTCAACGAAAGAAAATTAATGCAATTCTTTCATGGCTTGTTCACCCATCTCTGGCTCTTCCCCCATTGTTTCAATTGTTCTCTATTGTTTGTGCAACTTTAGAAAGAAAATTCCTATCCTCAGCCTTTGACATCTTCTTTCCATTTGTGCTGAGAAATTCTCCCAAGGTTTTTACTGCAGAATTTATTAGTGTGTGTACACTGAGTGGAGGCAGGGAGGAAGAAAAATCTGAGGGAAAGTTGGGTTTGCGGGGGTGGGGTGTGATTAGGAGACAGATTTGTTTAAAGGAGGGCAAGGTTTCTTCTGTTTAAGGGTATAGACACAAAGAACAGAGTGAGTAAAATAACACTAGCTTTGTAGGCCACAGCATAGACATCCTGCTTTTTTCCCAGGGAGACTTCTGTGCTTTCGTTTATGAGATGGCAGAGATCAAGCTGCTAGCTGCTGCACAAATGTGAAAGCATTTTGTGTAAGTTATATGAAACGTCTGAGGTCAGAGCATTTCTGAAATAACTTTACAGTGTTTTCACTGGAAACAGAGGCTCTTTTCTCAAAGTGTAATTATCTACTCCGGACTACTATACATTTCCAAGGAGAGTTTATAGCCTGTTTCACATAAGCAAGGCCTTGTAAATCACAAGCACATGCAAAATCTGCATTCATAATCAGGCGACAAATACTACTGTTTTTAAAACAAGGTCTTCTAAAGCAGACTGAAGGGCCTCCAGGCACCTGCCAGTCAAGAAGAAAGCTGAAATCAGGGTCAAATCCATTCAACAGCCATGTTCAGGATTACTGTCAAGTGACCTTTTTTTTTTTTTTTTTTGGCTATCAAAATCCCATTTCCATTCTCCGATGAAATCTTTACATTATTATAAATATGTGTACAAGAAAGAGAAGGACAAGAGAATGCAGTACTAGAAAACATGAGACCAATCCTCGTGGTCTTCATTCAGACAACATTCCCCTTAGGGTTAATGGAGTGTGATCAGCATAATTTTTCACACAGCTGGCATTTTATAATTCACTCCCTGAAAGATGCCAATTTTTTATTCCACCCTTGCAGCCATTGCCATCTTTATAGTTTCACAACAACTACATTCAGAGAACCTCTTAAAAAGCCAGTATTTTTTTTACAAACATACAAAATTATCTGAATTCTGTTATAGATATATTCTCTATATATTCCTATTGCTATAGATCTGCCTTTAACCATAATACAGGCAGTTCTACCATGACTTTACCAAAAAGGCTCAAAGCATTGAGGGGAAAGTAGAACTGAAAATAGTAAGGGATTTGCAGGAAGGGGTTCGAAGAAACAGCGATGTTTCTAGGTTCTGTAGAAAGCTCCAAAGTCTGGGCAGAGTAATCCAGATTTTCAGTGACTGTTAGATAACCCATATGATGCCACTGTAAAAAGGACCTGCCAGTGCCCAGCACAAGCTGGCAACAACTAACCAAGCAGAATCAGTTGGACTGTGAGAGTCCCAGGTCCTTCTCCTAAGGAACCTGAGATGTCAAACTCAGCAGTTCCCATCAGGCAGAGCTACCACAGAAGACACAGGTAATAACAGATACAGTCAGTGCTTTCGTACATTTTGACCACAACTGTTGGAGAACGGCTTGCAGAGCAAGGCCATGGGTCTGTGCAGGAGCTGATTACAGCCATCTGAAGTAAACAAAGGAAAAAACCCAGGGTACAGTTATGCTAACAAGGAAGGAGATTCAGGGCACAGTTTGGCTAACAAAGAACTGTTATGATAACAAAGAGAGAAACTGAGGTACAGAGTAGCCTTGATTATAATGGAAAACAACCTTTGGGAAGGAAACAAGCCAGAGGAAGGAGGATGTTGTGACATACCTGAAATGCCACAAGGGGCTGGGATATTATAATGTAGCCTTTTGGATGTATCCAATAGATTTATGATTAGTGTGCATAATTATAGTTAGTGCTTATATAAGGTGTGATTTCTTTCAATAAAGTTGAAGCTTGCTCTATCATTCACATTGAATCGACTGCTTGCTTCCTCCGTCCACCACACACAACAGCCATAGGTTAAGGCAATGTGGCAGCTAGAGTACTAAATGTAGCTTGCAAGATGCAGCCTTCATTTTTATTTGGGACAAAACAACATACAATGCATTCATCCCTGCTAGCAGGTACAGCATCCACATAAGAGTGTAACCAGCAGCGTAAGGGATTAGTGGTCTTGCAGGGACAAGCAGAAAAGTGA